ACCAAACAACCATTTCTTTTTCAATCTAAACATCATGAAACATAAAGAGTAAACCTGTAAGAACCATCACCTTCATTGTGGGTCATTGAAGCTCACTCTTGTGCGTTACCGACGTCTCCCTCAAAACTTCGATATACTGGATCCGAGCCTAACGCGACCTATTGCACAATCCAACCGCTGAGTAATTGAGGATTCTTTGCTACTTGTGCGTTGATCTCCTCAAATCGGCAGCTTGCTTACGCACGTCAATGCTCTGGTGAGTCAATTCGATGGAGGGCCATTCTTGGGGCTGGTTTCTTCTCGTCCCTAGGTCGCAATGCATGCCCTGTCAATGATGTTTCAAAATCTCAGCTTGTGAGCTCGTGTGTCAGCAACCTTAGTCATTACTTGCGTGGATTGTGCAAGGCTCACGATTTAGGGTTTGAGGTCCAAGATTTGAGGTCTATGATATTTGGAGGTGTTTTTGTAGGATTTGAGACAAGGATGCAGCGCCCATCAGTGCATCGCACCAACCGATTTTTTTGCGATTTGTGTTTGTTACGTGAATCCAGACAAAATATTGGCGAAAGCGTGGACCATTTTTAAAGATCAATCCCATTGCCTCGGATTAGCTGTGCGGGTTTCTTTCGAGAAATTCTAGATGCCACGGTCTGCCAAGAAGCTACATGTTAGCTCAATTCTTCCCACCTTGCAGCGCTTTGTCCAGGTTCCTCACATTTTTCCATAATTCTTATAAACCCTGAATCTTGAATGTTGGTTGTAATTTTCGGTGCTTGGAGCTTATCCCGCACTGCATTTCTTTTTAGTTAGTTCTCTTTTAGGTTACACGGACGGTGGTTTTAAAACAGGGGTGACTTGTGACGATTCTTGTTAAGCTAATATGTATACATGAACCGACTCCAGCTTTTAAAAACAAGTATTAGGGGATCCTCGCATTCTACTCCACCGTGTAGTAATTAAGAAGTTTTTGTCAAAGATCTTATTTCAACCTCAATATCAATAAGAACAGTTGAGGTTTTCTTGGTATACATTCTTCGAGTGGACGATAGTTTTGTGGAATTGGTTGGAGAAGTATTCGGTGAGTCTGGTAAAGATCAGGGTTTAGATGAAAACCCTCTCTTCCCTCCACCCAAATTTTGGTTTTTCAAGGTAGGCATTGAGGCGGTGGCTCTTAATCGGGGCAAGTACCTCGATCTCCTCATGATAATTGGCATTTTTTTGCATTTTTGAGCCACTTGGAATCCTTGTCAATATCCTGATGTCCACGACGCTGTTGGGGCGTGCCGTGGGGTTTGCAAACGCTTTGTATTTGAAGCACCATCAGTAGGTGTGCTCAGAAGTACAAGTTCATATTATTGAATTCCTGCACTAGTTCCTGGATTTCGATCCAAAACTAAAAATATAGAAATGAAATAGATTAGCGTGGTTTGAGAGAGAAACTAAACATTTCAGGTATCTGCTCGGTACTCACACACACGAGAGTTGTAGAAAAGCGTACGCTGGTGCTCATTACCAGAGGTTGAGTGCAAAGCTGTAGGATCTTTCTAATCATGTAAACCCCGGATTGTTAAAAGAAGCAAGATAATTGTCGCTAGTTTGGAGGTTTATTCAATCGTACGGGTTTTCGATTAACTTCTCACTCCCCGATTATCATCTCGGAGTTTGGTGATTTGTTCTTCCTGTTGATGTCCATAGAGTGAACTCTTGCTGAGGCTCGCTTAGATTTGCTAGAGAAACAACAGCGGCAGCCTTCAACAATTCCTCTACAATTGTTTAATGACTGAAGAAGAGTCATGCTGATTTTGCAGTGATCACTTGATGATGCTTCAACCTATCAACCTCATAGATCTTTTTGTAGAATATAATTTTTCCAGGATCAACGAAGCTTGTGGGGTCACGCTACCAGGCGAAAAGTTTGGAATCATAAAATGCTCAGTCTCATAAATCTGCTAAATATTTCTTCTTACCGTAGAAGCCTGAAATTCAACTGCCAACTATCTTGCTCTTGCTCTAAACAGCAAGATGCAACGTGGACGCTAAACACAGTGCAGAGACCCACCCTCGTGAAATAGCAAAAGAAAAGCTATCTTGTGTGACCTTGTCGTGGGAGAATTGATCGTAGAATTTGTAAATTTTATAATGGCACAACTAATGCCAGGCAGTTGTTGAATTCATGGAACTGATAGCTAGTTTGTTTACAATTTACGGCTGAGGCAGACGCAATCTGCGGCGACGAAGAGCTATTACATGAAGGTGGAAGTCGTCACCAATTGAGACAACTGTGGCGGAAGTATGCCTTCGAAGGAACTCATGCTCAAATCTAATCGCATGAACTCATGCTCAAATCTGATCGCAAGAGGTTCATCAGCCCAGTGAGTTGCTGCGGGATCACCCCTGGGACTGCTGCAAATGATTCCTGCCCACGAGCATCGAGAAGACGCCGAGGTTCCAACCTGGGAGCATCTCCTTTTCCATTCCGATTGGTCTGCCCCGCGAGAGGCCCGTGGACAGAAGATGGGTGCTGGGAATTGGGACGGGCAGGTCGGGGCAGGAGACTAGGGGCAGGAGAAATGGGGATGGAGGCTAGGAACAACGGGAACTGGGTCGATTTAGTAAACAATTGGATCGCATATATATATGTATATGTATATATGTATATGTATATGTATGTATATATATGTGTGTATGTATGTATATGTTTATATATATATAATAAAAAATAAAAACTTTCACATATTTCTAAGATTGATTTTTAAAAGTTTGATTGAAGTTTAGAAACACATGTGCAGTAATTTTGAAATGTGTGAAACTTCAGAACATGGGAACCATTGTAACTTATATGTGCTATTTTTATATCATTCTTTTTCGAACTTTAAAATTATTTAAAGACCAACATTTTGATTCAGTGTTGTTTGAATCTTTGTTAAAAAAATTCTTAGTTTAAAACTCTGTCTTCACCTTATTTCTGATTCTATTAGTGTAGGCAATATTATTCAAATCATTCTAATCCTGATTACTTTTACAATGTGTATCAGTTTATAATCATTTTTATGCTTAGTCTTATATGTTTTGTTCTATTTAGTTCAAAATCATTTCATTTCTTAGAATCAAAAAACTTATGAAATAATTGTGTGGTATTTCTTGAAAAGATAATGTCTTGTATCAGTTTTTTATCATTGACTGTTATAGATAATTTTTAATGTTGATTTTCTTTCCTGTATATTTAATTATTTTACTTATATATGTAATTAAATCATTAACTAATCGAATAAGAATATGTGAGCATTTTTCCTCTAGGATGAATATTCATCAAAGTATGAGTTATTTTTATTTATTTTTAATTTTTTTTTAAAAAAAAAAAGAAGTGCATATACATACACGAAGCATAGGATAGTTGCACAAGTCCAATTTCTTAAAACTTCGCCTTCCACAAATAAAACCGTTTCTCTATTTTTGGCACTTATTTATTGTGTAACTACAATTGAACTTATTTTCTTCGAAGAAATTTTATCAAACGAAAGAAATAATTTTTATTTATTTTAAAACCATTCTTCTTTATTATATAAAATTTTAAATCATTTTTAGCCCAAATTCCAAATCCAAAATAAAGAGAATTCGTCATAATAAAAGTATTGGCGTGAAGCTCAAGCGTCGACGCCCATACCACGGGGGGAGGTTTTACTGCGTTGCAAATCCCAATCCCGGCTCCCCATTATTTGCATCCTCATTACTTGCTGCTCATTATTTCGGGGATTGCGCCCCACCTCTACTGTGGCCCCCACACGAGAGAGAGAGAGTGTGAGAATACGGGTGTAGTGACCGGACGCCAGGGGGAGATCGGAGGAGGTGCACAGCTCCACAAGCCTCAACGGATCTGCCGTAAAATCTTGGTGGACAAGCTTGATGGCTCGGATGCTTGGTGTCCAAGTTTCTATGCGAGTCGTGTTGCTGAAGACAGCATGCTGGGATCGGGATAAGAGGGATGGCGGTAGTCGGTGTTCAGTCACTTCATTCTCTTGCGTTGCATCGCATGAAGAGGACATTCCTGCGGAGAATTGTGTGGCGGCGGTAGCTGGTTGGGAATTGACGTGGGTATGGAGCGGGGAATGATGGCAGCGAGTTACAGGGCAGTGGATGGGTTTGAACGGCCGAGGACAGCGCCGATGATGAGATTGCGAGAGGCGGAGGAGAAGATGGGCCATGTGGCGGTGGGTGGGATGGGGATGGGGATCGGGAGTGATCGCCGTAGGACTCCGCCCCGGCGCAATCCGGCGAGAGCTGCAGGGAGGTCGGGAAGGATGCCTCCGAGGCGTGGCCAGGTGAAGGTCGCCATCGCACAGTCCGTGTGGCAAACCTTGTCTTCTGTTGTTCAGGGGGCACGCGCCGCAACATTTCGTCGCTCGTTCTCGTGGAGCAGTTGAGCAAAATTCTGCATTGGGGGATGACGATGGTGAAGCAACCAGGCCGATCCGCATCCCTTGCCCTCCAAGCGACGTTGTTTAATCCAACTCAGAGAATGCATCAAACCGCTCTATTGTACAGTTTTCCGGATGTGATTCGTGGAGAGTGCAAGAATCATGAAGGCAATCGACTCATGTACATAGATGCTCAGATTGAGGACGACTTCGATACTGTAAAAATTAGAGAGAGATTCGGTTCTGCCGTAGCGTGTAGTGAAAGCAGTAAGCTTATCCTTAGAGTGAGATGCTCACCATAGTAACTTCTGCAGCGAATACTGTTGCATGTGCAGAGACTCAATTTTGTGCGCGGACTTAATTTTCCGAGAGAGCTTCATGGTCGAAAAACCCTGGTTTGGCTCGACCATTTTACCCAACTCCTCGAATGAGTTTTAATTTTGTTGATCCGGAAGTAAAGTTTTCAATGTTTGAAATGTCCAAAAACGATTGGGATAGCAAAATTCAATTCACAATTCATCCTGCACATTCTCCGGACCTGGAGACAAAAAATTGAATAAAAAGTTTGCCTTCGATTCTGCTAGATACCATTGACAAGTGCTTTTCAGCCAACTGAAAGAGCCATTGCATTAAGATGAGCATCTTCATAATAATGTACAACCTTCTCGGGTCAGTCAGAGCTGGAACCCTACAAGCTTGTATGGGCCCTAAAACCATCACAGTTGAAGAGGACTTGAACTGCAATGAGAAGCTCATGTATAAAAAAGCTAAAGCATCCTTTCGTGCCCTAGTACTTCAATTTCACTAATACATTAAGTAGCCTTACCACAGCAGGCACTACACTACACCGGAAGGAAGCCGCACCATCATCTGTCCGTCCATTACACTGACAGAACAGATACCCAGTCAAATTAGACATATGTATGTTGTAAATATACTCTGTTGACAGCTCTGTGGCTACCTTCACTGAAATAACAGAAGGAAGCAATATATGTTGGTGCATGCTTGATTCACAGACATCAACGCAATCATGTGAAGTATGCATTCGAACATACCTTTTCACGTAGTAGTAACAAAAGTCAGCCAAGATCGTTGTCTGTACAATCTCAGAGAGAAGAACCATACCAGGCCATAAGCCGAAGCCCAGTGCACTAAGCAGGAAGCTGTGTCCGTCTAGCACCTAAGGATCAACAAGACAGTGCATCAGGCTATAAATACTGCTCTATGGTATTACAGAGACCACCGACAAAAAATACAGAAAAAAAAGCTAGAAAGGTCAATGATTAATTTGAATGTGAGGTTTCAAAAACAATAATAATGATAAAGAAACAATGCTGCTCTTGAAATTTGAGAAAGTTCTCTCCTCCTCCCTCTCCACTTCACTTTGCAAAGGTTCAGTGTTAAAAGGTAGTGCCGGGACTACTTGTGCTGGACTTCCCAGTTCTAATCCGATTAGCGTATGAAATGAATAAACTACGTAATAAAGACAAAATAATGATAATGATAATTAATTGATTTTAAAAAATAAAATAAAAAGCAACTCACCTGAAGAATCCAGTGAGCACAACTTAGAAATCGTGCAATTCCTAGAGCAAAAACATAATGGGCTGTGAAGGGCTCAACTACCTGCAAATCAACTCAATTACAATTAAAACCAAGCTTCTGATTAAAAGTCCCCACACTAGATCGTGCAAAGATGAAAGTAAAAGTGATACACGAAAGTTTCTCCGGTAAAATTACACTTAGAGCTATCATCACCCAAGACAACTAAGAAATCCAGCTGAGGAAGCAAAAAATGCCCAGAGTAGAGAGTGTTCACGTATTGATAAACACACGACTGCCGGAGAGCTAAAACCCTGAAGAACTTATACCCAAAACTCAAGAGCACCAGATGGTCGTTACAAAATCCAAAACATTGGACATCTTTCAAGGATACCAAAACTCGAGAACTCATACCCTGGTATTCTGCATTACGCGAAGCTGAGGCATGACAGATACAGCTTCCAAATATACACAGAAAGCCCACAATACACGGTTTACAATATGGTGAGAAGTGCCTGGATGAATCAAAAGAGCCAGTACTGCACATGGAGCCAGCTGCAAAGACACCGCAATTAGAAACTGTCAATAACAGTATTCCTGATAGCTCCATAAGATAACATTTAATCCATTCTCCTTACGGGTAGGACAGAGTACCCAAGCTAGTTATTAGGGCGATTCCTCAATTGAAACTAGAGGACTAAAACTTCGACCACATGATCCCCATCAATCTAGCCTGTGTAATCGATTCACCGTCTTTGTTACGGTACGCCACTGAAAATTTAACCAATCATTTGTTGACCAACAACACGACCTATGATATGAAAGATTCAAATATAAAGGATTGACAGGATCACATAACCCCTAGGTGCTCGAGACTTGCCAAGACTAAAGATATGCGCCACATGCTTACAAAATGCCATCCGTGTAACTACAGGCAGGAATATAAGGACAACGTATTGCTTACTCACCACATAGTATATGGGAAGATTGTCGAGGTCATCTGAGATGGTAGCCTTTAACTTAAAACGCATCATAAAAATCACCCACGCAGTTGTGAGGAATGTGAGGAAGTCCAGAACAGTATGAATGTCAAATTCCATCACCAGACTACAATAGAGCCGCACCATCAGAAATATGGCAGTGAGCTCCTGGGACTTGAGTGACAGGCCTGCATTCAAATAACACATTTTCCTTTATCTATTTAGTTGAGAGTCGACATTGTATAAAGCAAGCCATTTCCCATGATTGCACATTTTATGTAACGTCTATGCACCTACAAACCAACCGCAGCAACATGACTTTAGCGCTAAAGCATTCTGATTGCAACGTCAGAGTCTAAATTTCTGACCAAATCCTTGATCCAGTAATTTCATAGTAAAACCCTGGCGGTTTAAGACAAGAATGTCAACCTCGTTCGATCATTGAGAACGTAGGGGTCGATGAGGGGCCAATGTAGACAACTCGCGTTAGAAGACAGATTGATCAACGTACTGACAGCTAGGGTGAACCATTATCATTCTCATTGAGCTAAACAGAGAGCACGGAAAACGAAAAGAAACGTTTACCAGAGCAAGTCCTCTCCTTCATAAGCTTGTAGATAAGACATCCGATGCCGACAGCATGAATAAATTCAGCAGCCACGAACAGGTTGTCATGATCGCGAATGACAAATCGCAAGAAAATGAGCGTCAAAATGCCAGTCAACACCCCTAAGGCGGCTTTCACTTTCGGAGGCTGCTTCTTCACCCACCATGCTGCTGTCTGCACAGGGTTTCGCGCTCTCCTCCCCAGTCCCATCACTTTTTATCACTGTAATCCGCACCTGTTATCTGTCCCCACCCCCTCAAAAAATCAAAAACGAAAAAAACAAACAAACAAACAACCAAAAAATCAACACCCAGCCCTCACCGAAAATTCAACGGACTCCCTCGGCGTAAAGACAAAAAACGCACCCGAAAAAGCCGTTCACCCCCAAATCGCAAATCGCAAAAAAAACAAAAAAAACAAAAACAAAACAAAACCAATCACTCACCTCCGATTAGGGTTTAGCACATACGAACGCTCAGACCACGTCGAATTCCCAAGGAAAATAGACCCGGAAGTCTCAAATGAAGGCGGAATGGGGTGATGAACGGTTCGATCGATCAGGAACAGCAGGGCGAAGCGGACAGCGGGGGTGATGAATTTTCCGATTGAACTTGGGTGGTAGGTTCGATTGATCGAGGCTAAGCAATCTGCTAAGGGACTCCGAAGGGGAGACACACACACACACACACACACACAGAGACAGAGGGAATGTGGACCCCCAGTATCCTCGAATTCCTTGATCTCCCTCGCATCCCTGCATTACCTAGATGTATCGCCTCAGTTGTTCCCCAGCCCGCTCCCCGCTCTGCGCATACCGTTCCCTGCTTAAATTACCACTTCACGTGTGCCTCTGGACTTGTATGTACGTATGTCTGTAGATGTTCCCAGCTTATTCGAAACCCTTTAATTAATATTCATCGTTTAGGTGATAATGTTTGTTGGAATGGAATAACATATTTTATTGTATGCATCCCACATAAATTGTAAAAATTCGCATAATTTATAAAAAATTTATCCTCCAAGGTTATAAATTAAGTGAGGTATATTTGTATATATATATATATATATATATATGAATGAGTGAAGTTGTAAGTGGTGTAGGTTTTGGAGTGATGGATAGTTGGTATTTTCTTGTATATTTTTATGATTTCATTACTTTTACTTGTAAATTAATCTTTGTTAGAAACGTTTTGATTATTCTCAAAACACTCTTGTATAACTCAAGAATAATAAATATTTACTCCAAAAGTATTATAGTATTAAGACTAGAATGGCTATTGCCAAAGGCAAAAAGAGTACCAACTATTAAATTTATATTAAAAATAAGAAAGGCATTGACAAGAGTGAAGAAGGCTTCACTCTTGCCTCTATATATATTATCTAACTAAAAGCTATGTGTGTCATGGACATACATATTTACCCTGATAATTATCTAGATAATAAGAATAGATAGAAATAAGTCAAAGTAGATAAATATGATAATATCTTGTAGAAAGCTTCCTAAAAGCTTCATAGACGCTGCTTTGCTTTAATACATGTCTATAGGTGATTGGTAGGTTGAAAACTTGGCCAACCAAGAGGCCACGTATCGACATATTGACCACTTGTAGTACAAGTTGGATATTGCACACCTAGGAAACTTGCCTTGCAAATTAAATATGTGTCTTATAATTTGGACGCATATTAGAAGTCTTATAGAATGTCGCCATATAGTTTTTAGTTAAGTATTATATAAAGAGGCAAAAGTGAGGCCCTCCTCACTCATGTCAACTCCTTTCTTGCTTTTAGTCCAGTTTCAAGGGTCTAATGTTTTCTAAGCTTTGGCAATAGCCATTGCAGTTCTTCCTTAAATGTACATACTTTCTTCTATTTTATCACTTTCTTTTTGACACAGATTCCACGACTTTATGTATCTTCTTCTAGTTTGTGTCGTTGACAATGTAGCAACATTCTATAGATCCTCCAATAAGTGTCCAACTTGCAAGACATGTATTTAACTTACAAAACAAGCTTTTTATATGTATACCACTTTGTTAGTTTGTTCCTTAAGCTACTAATATGTGTGACACATGGTTAATTTTTTGGCTGAGTTTCTAACCTATCAATCAACTACAAACACATTTAAAGTCAAATACACGTTTATACAACTTTTAAGAAGCTTTGCCACAAAATATCATCAAATCTATGTACATTTACTTCATAACTAATAATTCTTATCTATGTAAGTATCTAGGCCGGTGACATTATCCCTTCTTCTAGAGACAAGTTCCACAAGGAGAGATAATCATATATTGAAGAAATCCAATATACAATAAATTCCATTCAAATTTGTAAATATATTAGCATTATATTCCTTTCTACTTACAATTAAAATTAATTTTCTTGTGAATGTCTTTAATATACTTAAATTAAGTGCATGACGACAACATTTAGAAAGTGTGTCTAAGAAAAAAAAAAATAAGTCCATATATAATCTTAATAATGACATACTCCAACAAGCTTGACAACAATTCAATATGCATATTAACATGAAGTATTTGAGATTCTTGTCATTTATATATGTGATGACTAAAAGTATCTTTTAGATAGTAATGTCATTCTTGAAAAGAATCTATAATTGAAAAAATTATTTATAGTAGATTTTGTAGTTGATCTTTATTGTTGAAAATATCTTAGAATAAAAAACTACTAGGTGGAATTTTTTATCTACTCCCATTTGTGACAATATTATATTCAAGACAAATTTTGATATATTTGTTTCTACAAAAAATATCTTGAAGAAGTTAACACAATATATTAGTAGTATAAAAATAAATTCTTTCTTTAAACCACAATAATCCTAAAATAATTAGATTATAGAGAGCTATTATCATATTAAATATTACTATGCTATTATGATTGTTAATTGCTATATCTAATAGAATAGTCTCATGTATAACATCTTTAAAAGATAGTAAATGACTATCTGTGACTTTTACATGTATAAGTTTAGTTTTCTTGACTAAATGTATTTATTGTTTTTATACAAAATATTCATCTATAAAACAATCTAAGGCTCTTAAATCTAATCGAGCAAAGACATTATGATTTTTAAGTCTTAAATACATATCTATTATAAATCAAGATGTTGGGTCTTAAGAGAGAATATGACCTTTATTAGATGTTGCACATAATTCCAACTACATGGTTCCTATTGTAGTTGGAAAAACTCATTTTTTGACATATTGTCTTCTCTAACAACTATGCTCCTCATTTTGTAATTGCATTATTTCTTTAGAAAATATTAAACAATGTATATAGATTCTTTACAATATAAATACAAATCTTTTTAAAAATATTGGATTTTTTTTTCTTTAATAAAAAATTTAAAACATACTATATCAATTTGCATTAATTTTGGCTTTGATGAATAAATTTCTTAAAATTTAAGAGCTGCAAATATTACTTGACTTATTCTTTTTCAATCAAATCTTTATTCTTGGTAGCTTTCAAATAATCAATTTTTGCATGCAATGGCTCAAGCAATAAATTATTTTAAAGAATTTGCTTTTAATATTATTAATAATAAAACTTTGATGTTATCCTTGAATCTATATCAAAATTAATTGATAAGAGCTTTGTCATTTTAGTCCATGTTGTAAGCAAGATTTTCAAATTCAGTAATATATATGGTGGTTGATTGTAATCCTTATTGTAAAGATAAGAGCTTAGTCTCTGCTACTCTTTCTTGATCATTTTTTCTAAATGTGGTTGTGAATACTTCTAGGAATGAATTCAAATCATAAAAAGAATCATGAATTATTTCTCATCTAAGGTACAAACTAAGAGAGAGCACTTTTAGATAAAAGTGAGCCTATGAATCCAACTTGAGTAAATCCATTAGGATATTACAATAGATATAACCTTAGATAGAGATTGACTTGTTATAGAAATCTTCAAAACTTTGATCTTGTTCCATCAAACTTCTTAGGCATATTAATTGTTGCTCCTCTTGTGCTTATAGAAGCAAAACTTCTTGGATTTGGTTATGAGATTGATCTACTTGCTTCCCTCAACTGCACAACTTCTCAACAAAGAATCTAGACTTCTTCTATAAGCTTAGGAATAATGCTTTTGTGGATGGTTGTATTGATGTGTAAAATTTCTATCCTAAAAGTGTTGATAAGCTTGTAAAAATCTGCAATAGTTGCAATTCTATTCTCACTTCTACTAAGTATAGCATCCATGATTTTTTCTTCTATTTCAAACAACTTATTAAATCCACAAGTCAAATTAGAGGCAGATAATCTATAACCTCTAATGTCAAATAAAAGTTTCTACAAAGAAGAATGATATATATATATATATATATCATTTAAAAAAATCAATTTAAAAAATTTATAAACTTTAGATAATATTTAAATTTTATATTGTAGTCTAAGAACACACATTAAAATTCTAATGTTCAAACATATACTTTTTAATTTTATGTTAATGATGTAATCAATCTATTTTGACATTATCTCATTTATTTATTTATTTATTTTTTGGCTCCACCTTGAGGCAAAAGTGTAACATTGATGTAGGCTAAGATTAAAATTAACAAACATCCACCAATGGAATTTACCAACTAGCCTCTAGCATCACTGATGTTGCACCTTTCTCAATTGGCAAGTGGGATTGGTACACATTAATGATCCATAAAAATAAAATAAAGAATTACATTGATAAGCATAAAACATCAAAGTAAAAATGTTTTCATTCTCTACTAAGGGACATAGAAGTTAACCACCTTGAGTTTAAGGCAATTTTCTTAAAAATATAAGAGAAAAAATGATAGGTTTTCAATCATTCTTTGCAAAAATGTGAAACAGATGCTTTTCTCAATACAAAATGAAAATGAATAATTAATGAATAAAAGTACATCAATTTCAAGTTATTTGGTGTAAAATTGTAAATTTTGGATCTTATTGTATTAGTCGTCTAAACATTATAAGATCTAATGGGATGTGTTGTTTAAGAGACTATTGAAATCTTATAATCATATGATTAAAAATTTCCAGTATTTGTTAATAAAATGTAAGGTGGAAGCTAAAGTGAGATTTGAATTCCACTTTTTGTAGATAAATAAATTCAATTTAATAATAATAATATTTTTTGAATTTTTGCAATAATATTCAAAATTTTAAAAAACAATTACCTCATGTAATAAAATTAACTCCCGCACTTGTATTTTTTTTTTAATTTTTTTTTCAAACATTATCAATTTTATGTTTTTTTTATATTAATCATTAGAAGAAATGATTTTATTTGCATCTTCAAAAAGTTTTGTATCAATTCCAAAAATGCACCATAAATTTAAAAAACACATTTCAAAAAATATGCATACACACAATTTTTTTAGTTTATATGGATAAAAAATACTTTTCTACAACTATGTGTGTTATAATTAAAATTGTTTTATTCAGTATTATTCTTGATGTTGTATTATCCCTCAATCTACATACATTTTACTCTCCGATCATCAAAAAATACTTCCAACAACTAAAGCAATGGATTTTTTTAGATGTCTAATTTTTTTCTTCATCTTGTCTTTATACAAACCATGATGAAATACTAGACATTTCCATTTAATGGAAAGGAGAAAGCTTACATTCTTGTGATTGAAAGCCTTTAAAAAAATTATTAAACTTTGTTTAATTGTCTTTGGATATGGATCCTAAAAAAAATAGTGTAGACAT